TTTAAAAAACTAAATTAAAACCCTTTTAAAAATGGGCTAATGAGATAAATAGAGACTTCTCATAAGAAGTTTGGGGTGGGGAAGGAAAGTGGGAGAAAATGAGGGAGGGAATAACACTGTTGGACAAGAAATACACTCATAACCTTACTTATGTAACTGTAACCCATCTGCGCGTCACCTTTACAATAAAATAAAATAAAAAAGAAGAAATAAAAATGGCCACTAACATGCAGAAATGCTTGATAGCTCTGGTCATAAAGGAAATACAGATTAAAACAACATTTAGATTCCACATTCCCTGTAAGAATGGCCATTATCAAGAAAACAAATAATAATTGATGCTGGTGTGTGAATGTGGGCAAAAGGGAACCCTAATACATTGTTGGTGAAATATGAACTTGTTCAACTCCTGGAAAACAGTAAGGAGGCTCTAAGCCTTCTCAAAGCATAGAACTATTCTATGATCCAACAATTCCACTCCTGGGTATTTATCCCAAAGATTCCAAACCGGGATCTAGTAAAGACATCGGTACAACCATGTACATTGCAGCACTATGCACCATATCCACGTTGTGGAATGATCCCAGATGGACAAATGGACAAATGGATCAAGGATCAAGAAAATGTATATATACACACTAAAATTTTACCCATCCAGTAGAAAGACTGATATTGTGTCGTTTGTGAAAAAAAAAAAAAAAGACGGAAAAAATCGTAAGTGAAGTGAGTCAGGCTTAGAGAGGCAAAGGTTGCATGATTTCTCTCAATGTAGACTTAGTTTATAAATATCTAAATAAATACTTCAGAAAGTATACAAGTGTTGGAAATACGGTAGAATCAGGGGAGAATGCAAACAATGTAACTCCTTAGGAAGGATAAATCATACTCCAAAAAAATCATAGTCCCCAAGAAACAAGACTTGAAAGGGGTAAGTGAGTTTGTGGGGAAAGGGGTAGATGACTGAAGAGAAATGGGGAGAAGGCAGTCAAAACTTCAATGCACATTCTAGAAAATTAAGAAAAGTGGAGAAAAGGATGTAGTGAGAGGGATTGGCGAGAATGTTCAAAGAATGTTGAAACACTGATGAAGATGCATTGTACTCACAAACTGCTTTATTGAATGGCAACCCCTTTGTACAAGTACTTAAATATAATAAACTATCTTAAAAAAAGAAAAGAAAAGCAAATAAGCAAGGCAGAAGGTAAAGTTTTGTTAATACAGGTTACATAATTGGAATATAAAGTGTTACTCTCATTCTTTCACCATTTAATATGTACTGTGCACTAAAGTAAGCTATGATAGCTTTTTTCTTTGTTCTCAAAGGCCTCATAAACTAATTAAGTGATGATCGAAGTACTTTCTAATGATTTATTAGACTCTTCCAAACAGCACTAAGCTTAGACTCCTCAAACACATATTTCAGGAATAGATTAAAATATGTGCTCTGTAGTTAGAATTAAGCCAATGAGTCAATGTGGGATGTTGAAGCATATCAGCCTAAAGTACATGCAGTTCCCAGAGCCCTCCTTGGGTGGGTTGACAGCGCTGAGACATGGTAGCTATGCCCATAGCCAATGCGGAGTATTTGCTAGGGAGCATCAGCTCTACAGTTGATGCCTGTGCCTGTCTTTAATAAATAATATTCTTCATTTCAGTGAAATGTTAGAGAAAGTATATTTTAAATATTCTTAGAAAATTTTATGTGTAATTAAGTGTATAGAGTCTGTAAAAGACTGCCTAGATTCTAGTCCACGATGAACCACTTACTATTGTGAGACTTCAGCAAATTTTTATTTATTAAAATGTCCTCATTTGTAAAATAGGAATAATAATATTTATTCAATAGTACAAAAGTTGAAAGATATCATTAATGTAACGCCATACAATGTTTTGTATATGGTAAACTCAGAGCAAATCAACAGATAATATTTACTAGTATCAAGGCCCAAATTAAAGGCACATTTTGGTTATGATTCTAGAACTGTCTCGTTGTGGAAATAAGTATAACTTACTTAATTTAGCACGGTCTCATTTTTATTCCTAATAGCTGTAATTGTAATAAATTCTTTCAGTTTTTTTTAATTTTATTTTAATTTATTTGAGAACATACTGTACAGAGGGGTTACAATTACATGGGCAGGATAATGCATACATTTCTTACCAAGCATTGCAGCCTCCTCCTTTGTTTACCCTTCACCTCCCTTCCCAGCCTCCCCCCTCCCCCAATTCTTTCAGTTTTTATAAATAAAGGTGTGTAATAATTTTGTTGATATCACCTTATCATTTTGAGTACCCTAAGCTTCCAAAATATTCTTCATAAGCCTCATAGAAAAGATGTCCTCATATAATAAAATAGGAAAATGAGTTATTCAGAATTAATGATTTTTTTTCAAAAGTAAAATTAAGTTTAACTTATTTCATGTCATGTAAATTAACTAAAATAAAAAGAATATATAACATTTACATTCTCAACATTATATCAGGTTTTCAGAGAATAAAAATACAAACATCCATAATAGAATTATGACTTATAAGTACACCACATTATTGAGTATACTCACCAGCACATGGTAGCGCTGAATAATGAAGAGAAGCAAATCAATCATTAAATAAATAAAAGTTAAATGGGAAGAACTAAAAATGTTCAGAATAACTTAATAAGTTATAGGCTAAACTCCTAATGTGAAATAAATAAGTTCACTTTGGGAAAACATCTGGTAGCAGTAAAATTCCTCTGAAAGTAGAATAGTTTCTAAGTTTTGTCATGCTTTGTAAGACTAAGGAATCAACGAGAAAAATTTATTGTGTATTTTCCTGAGCAATAAGGAAGAAATGGTGAAACAAGCATTTGGAAACTTGAACCGGTTTGGTAGTACAAACTATAATATGTAGAAAGCCAGATGACATGCACTGGGAGTGGAGGCTGCTTCAGCATTGAATCTAAAGTTCTCAGCAAGATGCGGTAAAACCACATTGCAAATGGAGTTCATGTGACTTGAGGAAGAACGATAGTTCCTTAGAAACCAAATATGAATTGACAATGTATCCCAGCGAAAGTAAAAGCAAAACCCAATTTAATATAATATAAAATCAAGACAAACATGAAATCTAGAAACATGGGAAATAAAACTCAAGGCCAGGTAAGCTCTGATCAGAGCAAGTGTGTGATAAGAATCCTTCAAAATTCTTCTATTTTGCAGAATGAATATAATCTCACTAAGGTGATGCTTCTTTGAGGTTTTGATTTACGTTTCTCTGATGCTTAACATGTTTAAAAATTATGTTTTCCTGATTATTGATTTGTTGACTTATCTCCTTCCACATTCTTTCATACATGAAACAGGGTTACCTCAGAACCCTTAGGATGGCTTCTAATACCAACCTCCTGCTCCTAAAAGTGGAGAGTAACCTCATTTTTTCAGATTAAATACTGATTAAAAAATTGAATAATCTTCAAAGACACATAAAACATAACTGAAAATGTCATGTCACTTTCATATCTACCTTAGCCAACAATCAAAATTCTCTAGATTTTAGTTTTCCTTGAGAAATGTGAAATTCTAGTAGAATTTTATTAAGAATAAAATGTTATTGTTGTATCTGATCTTCTAAAATATTGAGGCTTTATAATCTAAAAGCTAGTATTTTATTATTTTTAAAACTCCCCAAACCTACAAAGTGAAAATACTTTGGTTTCAGACACTTTTTGAAATTTCTTATACTGATGCCTATCAACTTACAATAGAGTTAAGTCCCAATAAGCTCATCATAAATGGAAAATTATCATGCATCAATAAGGCTTTTAAGCTGGGTGCCAATGGCTTATGCCTAGCTATTCAGCAGTTAGAGATCTGAAGATAGTGGTTCAAAGCCAGCCTAGATAGGAAGTTTATCTCCAATTAACCACACCCAGAATCCCACAAAGCCAGAGTGGATTGTGGATCAAGTTGTACATAAAGTGCTAGCCTTAAGCACAAAAGTACAGACATAGCCCATGGGCCCTGAGATCAAGCACCCAGGACCAGCACCCACACAAAAATGCATTTAATATGCTTAACCTACTGAATATCACAGCTGGCAACATAGAACGATACGAAATATCAGTTTTTACTCTCATGATAGCATGACTGATGGGAAGCAGTGGCTCATCATGGCTACCCAGTATAAGAGAGTGAAAATTGCACACTAGCTCAGAAAAATAACCAAAGTTCAAAACTCCAAGTATGATTTCTACTGAATGCATACCACTTTCAAGTAAATACAGAACTGAAAAAGCTTTAAGACAAGCCATGGTATATCAGGGGCAGAGTACAGATCCATTAATGTTTTAGCTTAATCTTTTCAAGTAGGTCATTACAGACTGAATTACATACTTCCACCTCTACCCTCTGCTCCAAATTCAAATGCTGAAGCTCTAACCCTCAATGTGACTGACAAGAAGATAGAGCCCATGAAGGGGTGATAAAGATCCAGTGAACTGAGGATGGGCTGTAAAGACAGACAACAGACAGACATCAGCAATCCAAGAATATAGCTGCTGTCAGGAACCGACCCTGCCTTGACATGTATTTCACTCTTCAAACATTTGAGAGAAGTAAATTTAAGTTGTTTAGAGTATCGAGTTTGTGGCACAGCATTACGCTAGCCTGAACAGACATACATAAAACAATGTTATAAAAGGATCTTCCTTCCATATGAGCTGAGGTGATGCAACGGAAGATATAGAAAGTTCTAGACAAAGGCTCCAAGTCCACTCATTATATCATCCATTCATTCACTATTGGATATCCTTTATTAAAGTTGAGAAACACATACATTAACATGTTATTCATCAATTTATCTACCTGGGTTTACATCTTGGATTCTTCAGTGAAATAAAATTTTAAGTGCTGGCAAAAATATTCTAGAGGAAAAACATATCATCATAAATACCAGCAATATAATGTTTATGGATAAGCACACACATATAAATTTATACCTATTCACATATATAGTCTTACCTCTTTGCTTTCTTCTAGATCTGATTCACTACTAAAGTCTTCTGTGTTTAAATTTTCAAAATCGGACTCTCCTACAGCAATTGGTACGGTCACAGTGAGGCTGGGATTATTTATGAAGGACATGTAATCACTTTCATCAATAATGTATTTTTCAACACTGCTGCCAGTTCCTATGCCACTTGTGGTTCCATTCACATCCTTCAGGTAGTCAAGATCTTTTCCAATTTCTGTTGTATGATTGGACATGCAATTGTCTTTTTTGTTGTTTAGATCATCAAGTGGTTTAATTTCATCTAAAATTTTTTGTTTCCTGACAAAAGACTGTTGAATAAACTCATATATTTTCCTTTTTACATAAGCTATTCCCTTGTGCATCCTGTCCACAGCAATTTGAAGATTATTCATCTCGTTGTCATCATCAGTTGCTGCAAGGTTGTCTGCACTAAATGAACTCAAAAGCAAGGCCAGAAACAGGTTCAGAACCTTGAAAATCACAAAGACATGGTTAGAATTTCACCCCTCTGTAGGGAGAGCATTGCTATGATCACTAATTCCTATAAGTGTGGAAGAAATATCTAGATCAGAAAACAATATCAATTCATAGATTAGAATTTGAGGGTGGAATTGGGTGCATAGTGCAGTGGTGGACTACAAACTTCCCACAAATAACTGGCATGCTCACCGTCCAACATGGAAGAAAAATGTTTTTTCTGAAGTATGATCTGGCCCAATAGCTATGAAACTGCAACTTCTTAGACAAAGATATACTTTCTATTGCTTTTGTGAAAAGTTGGGAAATTGAATGAGCTAAACCAAGATAAATTAAAGCTATGTAGGTAAAACAGATGAACACATATACTGCATAAAATTCCAAGCCAAAAATCATCAATCATTCTAGATTATACATTTAAACACATTTTTAGTTTCTCTTTGATAAACAGATACTAATATGAATGTTAGTTGAAAGGCTTTATTTTGACTCAAAACTGATTAGGAACTTAAGGGATTGAAATTGACACATTTCTTTAACCTATCATAATTCCCATACAACTATTGACTAACTAGAACTACTCAGAAGTAATTCCCAATAAGACTGGTATACTAACATATATATCTTTTGGCATGTATTTACATATTCCAAATTATAAACTGTAGTATTCTTAATGTGAGGCGTAATTAGGTAATATCAAAATAAAAGGTGGTGTCATTAGCTATCCTCTATTTGACTTAGAGTAACTAGTCTATTGACAACTCAGGTTGGTTCATTTATCTGTCATATGCCAGAGGGTGATTGAACGCTATATAATGCCAAGAATGGGAAAGAAATCGTAGAATCACTGGGAAAACTAGAAAGGACACAGAAAGCGTGTGGCAGGAAATGATTAGAATTTCTCATTCCACACATAGGTATATATGCACATATAGGGGCATACATTTCTTTCTGAAATAACATATTTCCCATGAATGTTTCTTTCTTGATTTTCAAGAGGATATATATGAATCCTGGGTTTATTTTTCCTACAAACTATTTCTTTTTTGATTTTTGTAAGGTATATATTCTCCACAGGAGGACCTGGGGAAAGTTTTTGCAAGTGTATTCTGCATCTTATTGCCATCTACTGGTGTATATATATGTATAATAATTAGTTTGTAATATGCGTATATAATATATGTAGACTAGATGTAGTTATGTAGTAGACTTCTTCCTTCCTTGGATCCAAATATGTAAAAATTCTGAATCTGTAAAAATCTTCCCAGCTCATTCTTTTAGGTCTGTTTCCAATATGAGACCATCTTGCAATTCACACAAAACATATAATGAAATGACTGACATAATGGAATTTAATATAAAATTGTAAACTATAATAACATACATTATATCTTTTGGAATGTTTTTATGATATCCCATACTATATGCCTTTGTGATGATATAAACATAACTAAGGTAAGAGACAGAAATTAATAATCATGAAAGTTCTTTGGGCAAAAAGGTAACCATTCTATTATGTTCAATATATTTCTGGAGTGCGTAAGTGGGTACCTACCACGAGGTTTCCAATCACCATGACCATCATGAAGACGGTAAGGCACATGGCTTGGCCAGCCACCTCCATGCAGTCCCACATGGTTTCTATCCACTCTCCACACAGCACGCGGAACACGATGAGGAAGGAGTGGAAGAAGTCGTTCATGTGCCAGCGAGGGAGTTTACAATCATTGGAAATCTTGCAGACACAATCTTTGTAGCTCTTACCAAAGAGCTGCATGCCGACCACAGCAAAGATGAAGACGATGATGGCCAACACCAAGGTGAGGTTTCCCAGCGCCCCCACGGAGTTGCCGATGATCTTTATTAGCATGTTTAATGTTGGCCAAGATTTTGCCAACTTGAAAACTCGGAGCTAGAAAATGAAAAAGAGTACATGATTAGGATTTTTACAAACACCAAATAATTGAGAGTTACCAAGAAATGATTATTAAAACTGAATCTTTGTTACGTGCTGATGGCTCATGCCTGTAATGCTAGCTACTCAGGAAGGTGAGATCTGAGGACCACCGTTTGAAGTCAGCCCAGGCAGGAAAGTCCTGAGGACTCTTAACTCCAATTAACTACAAAAAAGGAGGCAGAAATAGACCTGTGGCTCAAAGTTCAAAGTGATAGAATACTAGCCTTGCACACAAAAATTCAGGAACAGTGCCTAGGCCCTGAGTTCAAGCCCCAGGAGCTCTCCCCACCCCACTCCCACAGCACCACACAAAATTGAATCTTTTATGGAGCACTGAGTTCACAGTTCAATTCTCAGACATCTTCCTACCCACTCCACACACATTGCCCAAAGAAAATCACTTACGACATCTATTCTGGCCTATCTGAACCATGGTAAACATTTGGACTCAGTAGGAGTAATCTAGTTTTCCCATATTTTAGGCCTTTAAATAATTTGCTCTGAAAGTGACTTTATTTTTATTTTTTAATTTTATTTTGCTGATCCTGGTGCTTGAACTCAAGACCTGGGCATTGTCCCTGAGCTTCTTTCACTCAAAGTTAGTACTCTACCAATTTGAGCCATAGCTTCACTTCTGGTTTTTGGTGGTTAACTGGAGATTAGAGTCTCATGGACTTTCCTGCCTGGGCTGACTTCAAACGGTGGTCCTCAGATCTCATCTTCCTGAGTAGCTAAGATTACAAAAAAATGGCATGAGCCACTAGTACCCAGCTGAAAATTAATTTTTTAATTACTTGGAATACGACTTTTTAAAATTTGTTTTATAAAAGTGGTTCTGAGATCTACCAGTTGTGACACTATAATATTAACATCTGAATCTAAATACCCTCTCCTGAAAGATTAACTTGTCCACAACATGCAAAGTAACATCACAGTGGGTCCTGATTAAATAGAGAAAAATAGGTTTTATTCATTAATGTTCCTATGTGGGCACTAATACAGCTAGATACACCTGTATTGGAAACTTGCTTTTTTCCTTGACTGCATAATTCTTTCTTGATTTGCAAGGGCACACATATGAATTAATAGGCATTTTAATAATCCTACAAACTTTTCTGTTGTTGCTGTTTTTTTATTTATGTTTTGAAAGATACATGTTTTCCAGAGGCGGAATTAGGGAGTTTTTAAATACATATCTTGTATGATTACTATCCATGATTACAAAGGGCCATTTTATTTCTAATTGTTATTTGAATGTAGAGCATTTTCATTCAAAACATTTCATCAACCCAGCCTGAGCAAGAAAGTCTCCAGGAAAGACTTCAACTCAAAAATAGCTGGGAAAAGCTAGGCTAGTGGCATGGCTCAAGTGGTAGTGAGCCAACTAAGTAAACTTGCTGAACAAACACAAGCCTTGATACTGATTTTATATACACACATTTATTTCTTAAATCTGGAAATATTAACTGCAGTATTCACTAGAAACAATAATTTTTCAAGATGTGTAGCATTGAAACCCCTTTGTACAACTATTAAAAGATATTTTTAAAATAATATTTAAAAAACAGTTGTCAAATAGTAATTGAGTATATATGACAGTTTATGTTATTATGCTCTTAGGAATAAAGGTTTTAATCACTAAGTGGGAATGTATCTCCTAACTCCACAGGAACACTTTTGACAATGCAAAGTTACAAAAAACTTAAAAATTTAAGAGTTTATGTGGTAAAATTCTTTGCATTAGAAATTTTTTCAACTGTTGTTTTTTTGTTTCATTTTTACCAATCGGAAAGAACGGAGAACTGATAATCCTTCCACATTGGCAAGGCCAAGTTCTACCAGGCTAAGCGTCACAATGAAACCATCAAAGATGTTCCAGCCTTCTTGGAAATAATAGTAAGGATCCATGGCAATAATTTTCAGGAACATTTCTGCTGTGAAGATCCCGGTAAAGACCTATGACCCAAAAAGATGACTCATTCCATCAGATGACAAAGGACATAACGACAAAGGACATAATATAAAATGTGTTCTTATATTAAAATCCTTATGTTGTCTTTACAATAATAGCTATTATTAACTTACATTTGCAGAGCTATATGTGCTGATATTGTATATTAATTTGCATCAATTCATTATCTGCACAGAATCCTATTAACTCAGGGTTGTAAATATTACAATTTTTCTTTACAGATGAGGAAGGCAACGTCATGAGTGAAACGGTTCACCCAATATCAAACTAGTAGGAAATGACAAAACCAGAATTTGAGTGCAAATATTTTATATTTGATAGTGCTCTTTTCATTGCATCAAATTGCCTTTCTTGCCAGTTTTCATATAACATTCTTACAGAATATTACCTATAAACAGTTATGTATCCTTATCTGTTACTATATATGCATTACTATCATTATTAGTTATATACATGGAAAAATGTATCCACTCTCATAGTATTACTAACAGAATTTTGAAATTGTAAATAATGTATTGAATGATTTAAATTTTTATCAGCAAAAATGTTGTATCTTAAATCTAATACTATAGAAAGTGAATCCCATACTCCATATAACTCAGCAAATAAAAGTTAATACTTCTAAGTTAACTTTCAAACACTTCAATAATTTATGTTTTGAAACACATAAAGAAAATAAGTAGCCTTCATCAAAAATAAACTTGAGACTCATGTATGAAATGTACTGCAAATCCCCAATATTTCATGAGTCGGATAGAGAATATACAGTTTTGGGGTAGAGAGTATGGAGTTTTAGACAGGGGCAGATTGCACAGGTCCTGGAAGTGAAAGGCCAAATACATTTTTAAGTGGAGGAATTATTTTTTGCAGTGACATTAACTAAGAAAGATGAAAAGAATTACAATTCTATTTTGGCTTTCTATGACTGGGGACTTTGTGATACTATTATTTACAAACATATGGCTTAAGATATGGTTCTTGGTAAAGTTATAAATTTTACTTCTGTCCATTTTAAATAGTAGCATCGTTGTCTACTGGCTCGCTATTGCAATATTCTTTATGATTTTGAATGAGCATTAGCAGCCACTATTTTGATTAAACATAAAGTATAGACAGAGGGGATCAGGAGGTAGGAAGGGTGGTTGAAAAGAACTATAGACTGTTGAGCAGTTTCTCAAGCAGAAAATTTGAAGACTAACACATTTACCTTCCAATATGCTTACCAAGTTTCCTACTGCAAGCACATTATTGAAATGTTCCGTCATTGGGTAGTGCTCCATGGCCATGAAGAGTGTATTTAAAACAATGCAGATGGTGATGGCCAGGTCTACAAATGGATCCATCACAACCAGGTTGACGATATGCTTCACTTTTAACCAATATGGAGAACAGTCCCAGATTAAGAATATATTGGAAAATTTATACCAACAGGGTGGACATTTCTGCCTAGATTCTTCAAGTTCTAGTTGGAAAAAGTAGAACAATATTTTAATTGGTATTAAAAGATCAATTTATACTCATATATTTGCTTCAGACCCATTAGATCAATTATTTTCAGTAGTTGGCACATTTCTGTTTGCTACAAAGTCAACCTTGTTCATATGGGGTAGTTGAAGAAGAAAAGAAAAGGAGAATGCAGTGAAGAATTGAATACATAGTCTATAAGTAAGAAAAGTGAAGGCAAGAGGTGGGTAGGGGAAGGATGGGTGAGAATGTTGAAAAAGGAGACATTGATCAATACTTATTGTGTTCAGAAATTGTTAAATGACAACTACTTGTACAACTACAAAGATAATAACAATAAAACAAACAAGAAGCCTATAATCCTAGCTACTCAAGAGGCTGAGATATAAGAATTGCAGTTCAAAGCCATCCCTGGCAAGAAAGTCTGTGAGACTCCTATCTCCAACAAAATACTCAAAAAAAGCCAGAAGTGGGGCTGTGGCTCAGTGGCAGAGTTCTAGCCTTGAACAAAAGAATCTCAAGGGCAGCAACCTGGCTCTGAGTTCAACCTCCAGGACCAGAAAAAAAAAAATCCAAAACAGATATAGAATTTACTCTAGATTCCTGAAGATATTTTATCAGATAACCACAGAGTACAGATAGCACAGAAACTGTTTTATTTTCATATGTTGACATGTGACTTAACACTTGGCCTCTGAGTAAACGTCTAGTCATTAAAATGAAGTCTGCATAGGAATGTGTTTTTAGGCACTCTGTTATAATACCTCAGTGATAGGCTACACTTTCAACTTCAGGCTTTAAAGTTTTCATGGGAGTCGATGAGATCCAAGAGTCATTTAATATTTTTTTTAATTTCCTGAAAATGTTTTAGTTCTTGGGGGCATTTAGAATGAGGATAAGAGATAGAATTCAATTGAACTAATAGGAATACCTTATTCGTCATTTTCAGGATTGCCCTCTACAATTCAGGCAATTGTAGAGTTAAGTATTATTAAGCTTAAACTTTTAAAGCTTTTAGAATGTATGAACACATATAATAATATAATTTGTTATTTTTCTTACTGAGAATACAGTAAATGGAAATATTAGTTTCAAATAAGATAATTCAACTTTCGCCAGATGACTGGAATGGAAATGGGATTTGTTACAAACCTTCGACTGTGTTTGTGAGGATGCTGGCTATACTCATTGCTCTTTGCCTCTGGGAAGGATCTTCTAGAAAGTCCATGGACACATGGAAAGAACTTGACCTTCGCTTTCTCATTTCAGTTTCAGTAGTTGTTCCCTGTACAGAAAACAATAACTCAGTAAATGATGAACTTGATTAATATGCTCAGCAGCCAACTGAATTAATGAATTTCATGAAACACATGCATCGTGCACCTCTGTATTTAATTGGTGATGGCAGATGTTGCTGACTTATTGTATCATTAACCTGGAATGCCCAAACAGGAAACCATTCAGTCAGACAGCAAAAAGGCATATTTTAAACTTCTGATTTCATAATATTATGAAATGTGATAGAATTATGACATTAGCTCTTTGAATTATCTTTATTTCTAGTGAAGAGTAAAATCCAACAGGCTAAAAAGGCCATATAAGTAGTGAAGGTATTATTTTTTTATAGCAGTGAACATATTTTTAAGGAAATACCAATGATGACAACACATTTACCTGTCATCTCCTTTTGTGGATATAGGAAGGACATGGATGGTCATTGATAAGTAAGACTGTATATTAAAGAAGCACACACATGCTGCATGGACCACAGGTTCATCCAGGGCAACAAAGCAATAAGTCATCTAATTCTGACTTCCATCATGCCTCATGATGCTGATATATTTCCATGGGAGTGATCAGTGTAGAAGAGGCAGTATTTGTTTAGAAATTCCCCCTCTGGGGGGGAATTTTCACATGACACACCTTTGTACATAGACAAATATTTGATCTGTTTATATTGTTATTTTGTGTCTCTTTAGTTTTGGAAAGACCTATATCAGCATTTTTTAGTAAGACAAATAGGAGTGCTAGAAGTTGTAAGGTAATAACAAAGCTATCTGTTTATGCGGTGTTTAAAAAAATCTGAACTGAAGCACAGGTGTATTGGAGAATCTGATGGAGAGATTTATTATATACCCTGTACACTTAAGGAAGATCACTTCTTTGCTTCCACATCAGGCCCTTAGAAAGTGTCCTGATATCTAAATGCAGTGTGGGTAATATAACAAATCCTCCAGCTGGAGGTAGTATTCATCAGATCTAATTAATCCTTAGCATGTTCAAGAAGTAAGTGCATTCAGGTTTGTGCAGGAGAGTGCGGAAGGCTTTTCGATTTAGTTTGTTAGTTTCTTAAGGGTATCACAAGATGCAGGTGCATTCACAGCCTGACCAACCAGAAATCATTCTCAAGAGCTCCATTCTGTAGAAATACTGGCTGGTTGCAGCAATCATGGGCCAGCCATGCCTGAACTATTGAAAACTTCCTTACATTGTCATCAGTAGCTGGCTTATCTATTATCACCTCTGGCAGAAGCTGTCCAACAGGCGATGTAGGAACTGAAGGTCCACCAACCAAGGAAACCACGCCATTGCAATCCACCGTGCTGTGCATCTTCCCGTTTGCAGGGAACGCGGCCAGCATCCGGGAAGATCTGCTGGTCTGACTTAGGTTACTGTTGCGTCGCTCTCCGTGTCGTCGGGGCACAAACAAGGAATCTCTCCGGCTCTCATTATCTTCAAAAGTACTGTGCTCATCATCAGCAAAATCATTCTCAGATCCCACGTCCTTTGCTCTCCCTCTAAAGCTGAAAAGGCTCGTCCTGCTGTTTCGCCTTGGAGAAAATAGGGAGCCACGGATACTCAGCAGAGACTGAAAGTGTGAAATAAATAAACGAAAGACTAAATTGGATTGACATAACCCTTGGAGATGTGCCTGCATTTCACACGTTCAAGGATATTTCAACGTTCTTTAGCAAAATATGACACATTTCTTTTGATTAGTATTCTAAACTTAGGAGCATTCATTTTGCAAAGTGAGATTTCTACCTTCTGGTATTAAAGAATGGGGAGGTAGAGTGCAACTTAAAATATTAAAAAAAAAATCTGAACCGCCATGGATCAAATTGAAATAGAAACATCCTTATTACGTATCTTGCTACAGACATGTCAATGGTCAGTGAACTTTTATGGCAACACATCCATATTTATTTTCATTACTTTTTCTTGTCATGGAATTCCAACACTTTTCACCAGCAATTTTAATCCACTTTTTAAAAGCAATTATTTAAAAAGATTATTAGTACTTTTTCAGGTTTTTAAAATTTTTTATTGTAAGGATGCTGTACAGGGTTACAGTTACATGAGTGAGGCAACGTGTTTTTTCTTGATCATTGCTACCCTTCCCTTCCTTGTTATTGTCCCACTAACCCTTCCCCCTCCTACCTCCCACACATTAGTACTTTCGAAACTGGAAGTTCAAATATCTGAAATGCAAAATGATATGCTATTTAATGAAATGCATCATGATTGGGGTTGGGAAGGTGGCTCAGTGGTAGAGCGCTAGCCTTGAGCTGAAGAGCTGAGGGACAGCACCCAAGCCCAGAGTTCAGGCACCATGACTGGCACCCCTGCCCCCCCCCCCAAATGCATCATGACTAATACTTTTGTGTGCATGTATGTTGTTTTATAAAGTTAGAGAAAATAACATTCAGCTAACCAAAAGGACATTATTGATTAGTTAGTCCCAGGTCTATATTTTTAAATTGTTTTTGCTAAAAGAGCTGAGGATCAGAAAGGTTATAAATCATTAGATACAGACAATGACCAGACAGCAGTATCAGAATGCAATTTCAGGTCTCCTGACTTTTAACTCATTGATATTTAGATTCATCAAGTAGCAAACTTACATATTTGGAATAAAAGTTTTTATATATTTTATTACACATTTTGCTACAGGCTTGAAGTCAACCCTACTGGTTTGATTATCATAAAAATAGCAAGCAATACCAGCACAACTATGTTTATTGCAGCATTATTTACCATAGCTAAGACATGGAACCAACCCAGATGCCCCTCAGTAGATGAATGGATCAAGAAGATGTGGTATATATACACAATGGAATTCTATGCCTCCATCAGAAAGAATGACATTTCCCCATTTGTTAGGAAATGGAAAGGCTTGGAAAAAATTATATTAAGTGAAGTAAGCCAGGCCCAAAGAAACATAGGTCCCATGGTTTCCCTTATTTGCAATATCTAGTATAGGTATGAGTCAAGCGGAAAAAGTCAGATAATGTGATGTTAGGAAAACGAAACCTCAAATATGTATTTTAATGTTTTTGTTTCTTTCATGCAAGTGTTTCTAACGCATTTATAAGATTATCTCTTTGTTGCTTTGTATGTCCCTCCTCCACAGTGTAACCCCCGCTTTCACTATATTTGATGTCAGTATAACATGTGGAGGAGATGGGGACAAACAAGTCGTTTAAGGATTCAGGTGGACCTGTTGCAACAATGAGAAGTACAAAATGTCATGTCAAAACCAGCTTTACAATGTCGGTGGGGGGAGGGTGGGGGGGTATGATTGGGTGGGAGGGAGGGGGGAGGCTGGGAAGGGAGGTGAAGGGTAAACAAAGGAGGAGGCTGCAATGCTTGGTAAGAAATGTATGCATTATCCTGCCCATGTAATTGTAACCCCTCTGTACAGTATGTTCTCAAATAAAATTAAAAAAAAAAAAAATAGCAAGCAATTCAATTGATGAATATCTCTAAGTCCATTTTAACTTTTCCCATGTCTAGTATTCTCATTTTTTCCATGCATTATCAGACTCATCCATGCTTACCTGGTGTGGGGAAGAGTATCTCTTTTCATACGTCAGTCGGTTTCCTTCAATGGAGAAGCGAAACCCTTTCCTCCTGATGCTGTCCTCAGATTCCGATTTATGGAATTCATCCTCATCCTTCTCTTCCCCGCCAGACTGCTCTTTCTGTTTTCTTTTCTTCCTCCGATTTCTCCTTTCCTTAGCACTCTTAGAACTCAACTTGGAGGCTTCTGAGGAGCTATCTGAGAGCCTTCCTGCTGCACTGGGCTCTCTGGAATGTTCGGAGGCAGTTGCAGCTGCTGCCTGCTACATGAGGGGAGAATAGTTTTAGCATGGCACAGAGAAGTTGTTATATTTCTTTAATTTGTTCAAGTATATTCATGGAAATTCCAAGATGTATTTTTTTGGGGGGTCCAGTAGTGGGGTCTGAACTCTGGGCCTGGGTGCTGTCCCTCAGCTCTTCAGCTCAAGGCTAGCGCTCTACCACTTGAGCCACAGCGCCACTTCTGGCTTTTTTCTTTTTGCTTATGTGGTGCTGAGGAACCGAACCCAGGGCCTCAGGCATGCAAGGCAAGTGCTCTACCACTGAGCCACCTTCCCAGCCCCTCCGAGATGTATTTTTAACTGACTTAAACTGATCTCACATAGAAGATGCTCTGCAAATGTATGGGAACCTTTTCTTTTTACTAATGAAGGTTTTCAGAGCAATCCAATTTCTCCCTGGGAACTATGACATCTGTGTTATACTTGATGGGCCAACTATCTAGAAGGAGCCGCTGGATATCAATAAAAAGAATATGTCATGTTATTCTGTAGGACTTATTCTGAAAATTGGCAGTTAATTATCATTTTTTTCCTTTCTTTGAAATATAAATTAGGGCATAAGTAAAAAACTTATGAGTCATTTGAAGTCCTATTGAAAAAGAGGAGGAATTGAAGTCCTTTTTTTCAGTTATTGCAACTAGTTTGTTCACTATCCTTCAAATATTATCACCCAATTTTATGGATGCCTATAACAATCTCTTCCCGCAGTCCCATGATACTCTATACGAAAGGAAATGCTAAAGTTATTAGATTTCTGCTAAACAAGACAAGATACTCATTTCTCCAAAAACCGCCCCCATCATTTTCAATGCAGCACTGGTTTTTGCTGGCCGTGTGGCTGGCTGATCACATATTATTTTATTGGTACGAAGATAACACAGGTGTGTGTGTGTGTGTGTGTGTGTGTGTGTGTGTGTGTGTATGTGTGTGTGTGTGTGTGTTGGTACCAGGGCTTGAATTCAGGGTCTCATACTCTTGCATGGTTTACTTGTTCATGGCTAGTGTGCTACTACTTGAATCATTATCTACTGCCTAGCTTTAAGCTGCATAATTGGAGATAAGATTTTCATGGACACTTTTGCTCTGGCTGGCTTTGAATTATGCTCCTCAGATCTCAGCCTCTTGAATAGACAGGATTATTGGAGTGAGCCCTTGGTGCCTGGCAATTTGGCATATGATAACATGCCATTGTTTGCACAGTACCTTCAAACCAGACTCTTGCATGTAAATTCATATATTGGAAGATACTTTATTAGTAAAGTCAGTGAGTTTGTATGTCACACAGAAGACTGAGGAAAGATGAGAGTGATAAGTCAGACAGACTATAATTATGTATGAGCACTGACATTCACTATAAAGACAAGTAATTCCTGTTGTATTACCTGATGTACAAAAGGTTAATGATGTTCATATGCCTATTGGATACTTCTGACTCATAGACTATTATATTACTTGATTACTTTCTTATAAAGGCAATTAAGGAAGTATATTCAAAGATAATATATTTTGGTGAAAGTAAAGAGAAGACTTTCAACAAACAGATGAACAGATTTTTATGTAATAACTATTTTTTTCTAATAAAAGACTGTTTTCTTCAGTTTTCTTGTTATGCCAATGTACTCATTCAGTAAACTTTTCTAAATCAGCAAACCTCAAAAGTCACTTTCTCTTTCATTCTGAAAATAATAAGGTGATGGGGAGGTTGTATTATGGTTAATATTGAAAATGTCTTCAAGTAATTAAATGGCATAATTAAACTAACTGAAATTAAATACAGGATCAAAATATAGAAATTCCTATTGCATCCTTCCTACTTCAAACTTCCTCACATATATTTTTAATCAATCATGTCTCTCTAATATTTTTTTTAATTTGAAACAACTGCCAGACACTGGTAGCTCATACCTGTAATACCAGCTACTCATGAGGCTGAGATCTGAGGACTGTGGTTCAGAGCCTGCCTAGACAAGAAAGTCCATGAGACTTTTATCTCCAATGAATCACCAGAAAAATCAGAAGGGGAGCTGTGGCTCAAGCGGTGAAGTGCTAGCCTGAAGCAAAAATATCTCAAGGACAGTGCCTAGGCCCTGAGTTCAAGTCCTAGGACAAGCACACATTTACCAAAAACAAAAACAGAACAAAAGGTTAGTGCTGTGAATAAAATAATATCTGCTTTGACTGTTTACCTGTGCCGCTTCTTGCTGCTTTTTAAGCTGTTCAAGCATCTGCTGAAATTCTGCCTCTTTTTGTTCTGCCTCTTCCAAGGTGGCTTGGTTCTGCTCCTCATAGGCCATAGCTACCACAGCCAGAATCAAATTTATAAGGTAGAATGAGCCCAAGAAAATGACTAGCACGAAAAATATCATGTATGTTTTCCCAGCAGCGCGTAATGTCTGAAAAGAAGAAGGTCAGAATCTTGTCAATATTATTTATTTAATGGATGGCTTCACCCCATCTTTCAACTTGCTTATGTGTCTTGTACAATGATCATTACCCAGAAGCCTTCCTACTTCTTTCACCACTGATTTCTTTAAACCCAACTCTTGCCTCTCCTTTGACTTAGACATTTCCCTGATCTCTAAGAAGAGAGAGGTTAAAGAAGAGAGAAGTTAAAGAAGAGATCTAACTTATTCTACATCTGGTTGGTTTACATCACCTCCTACCTCAGAGAGAGTACTTGAGGGAGAAAATAAGGCTGAGGGGAGGTCTTGCCTTCTGATTAGGAGAAGTTGTGTCTTAAAAGCATAAGAAATAGGATTTGAATCAAAGAGAAACGGGAAAATGTGCTCCTTGGCTTTACTAAGCAGAGTAATATGCTATGATCAATAGGACAGAACTCAAATCTCTATTTCAAGGTTTTCACTCTCTCCTATATTTTGCTAGGGTTGGATCTCATGACTCACTTCATGTTCCTGTATATTTTTACTTAAAAGCGTTATATATCTCTTCAGATTCTCACCAGTTGGTAAAGATTTTCCCAGAAGTCCTGAGTCATCAGTCGAAATAGGGATAAAAATGCCCAACTGAAGGTATCAAAGCTTGTGTAACCATAATTAGGGTTTCTACCAGCTTTTACACACATGTATCCTTCTGGACATTGGCTGGAAACAGGGAACAAGAAAGTATGACAAGATATCCTGTTGTCTTTTTATTCTGATCAGATCCTATGGTTATGCTCTAGCCTGGATTATTTACTATTTAAAAAGATAGTAGCATGATAATGAATACATTTTCCAGCTTTTGACTTAATAAAATACACTAGCCACTAGGTGTAATTAGCATGGTAATTAGCATCTCAGGTTCATTTTCCCTACCTGTGAAATACCCATAGTTGACTACTAGCTTGATTTTATACTTACCTAAAGGATTGAACATTGCAAGCATAAGCTACATTCGCGAAGATGTCTCATCCAATCTATAAACAATTTTACTCTTTATCACTAAACTTAGTTATGGGAAATTAGTTCAAATAAAATTAGTTGGTTATTAAGATTTAGTTTCTACAGAAAGAGAGGAGGAGAAATGCATGTATACATACATGTTTGTCAGTCACGCCCCCCCTGCTGCCCCCCCCCCCCCCCCCCCCCGCAAACAATTGCTGGCTTACCCTGCATCAGAACTGTTTCCACAGAGTAGTGCATCTATAAAACCCTCTAGGAAATAATGATACCCTGTGTGAAAAACGAAAGTCACAAAACAAACATTTGCATTGTTAAAAAAAACACACTAAAATGAGAAAGCAAGAACAAGTCCTAGTTTTAAGTTCACTGAGAAATTCTCAGAACATTAAGTCATTTGGAGACAAAAACATTTTTCTGCTCTCTTTCCATATATTAGATATTACATTAAGGACATTATTCTTAAGCTTTGGATTCATCATTTCATGAGATTTTTTTTGAAACTTTAAAATTCAATCATTTGTGTTTTTTTTAAAATGAGATTTGTTCTAGCTAAGTAAACAAAATATTTGTCTGAATGTTTACTCTGAAAATTTGAATTGCTGTAGAATCGCATCTTTGAACACTTAATTGTATAGTAAAGATTATGGCTGAAATGCTTATTAAAGTTTTTAGTAAAGTATGTTTTCCTTTAAGCATTAACCTTATGTGAATAAGTGACTTCTTGATGCTTTTTAAGTAATTTTTCTAAGTAGCTTAGTAGAGAACTGCTGAAATCCTCAGCATTAACATTTTTACTGTTTGTGCTAAATGTAACTGTAGTATAAAAATGAATTTTTTGCATGGAGCAGAATTCAAAATTAAAATCTTTTTAGAGAATGAAGAGCATTAGGTACACTGAATCATGGAGAGGTTCTTAATTACTAACAAAAGGAAGAAATAGTCTCACAAAACAAAAGTTTTATTGGGGAAAGTAGAATGATTTTTTTCTTTCTTAAAATGACTCTATCTCAAAATTAAAGGAGCATATTTTCACTTGCATTCTCTCTTATATTTTAATGTCATTTATTGATTTTTAATAATTTGTAATGTAATAATATATTCATATTTTATATAATTTAATTCATAACTTACTAAGAATTTTTATAATTTAATATAAATTTAATTTACAATAAAAAATAGATTAAAATGTAAATTGTAGCTGATTTTCATTTCACCAATGTCTAGGATACAACATAGGCATTGTACAGTAATAACATGTATAAATTGTATCAACTACTAAAATAAATTAAAAATTAAAATATGAAAATAATTATTATATGTAAGCATTAGTTCTCTCAAAGTTTCCTGTTTCTAGTGATTTTCTTGTCACTTTTAACATCCAGATGTGTCTGTTCTGTGAAATGTTCCTTGAACTTTTACCTGCTTTGCATTAGATTGGTCAAATTAAGAACTTCCTCACTATGTTACCTGTATGTATATTTATAAAATATATACAGGATTATAGTCTTAATCCTATCATTTATTTATAAAAGTGTTATTATTCTTAGAAAAAGGTCATAATCCTAATTATTTCTATATTATTATTGTTTGGAAACTAATAGTCTTTCAATAAAGTTTATTGCATTGAATAAGTAAACAGGGCAGAAAAAGAAACACATGGAATTAGTAACTGATTTTGCAAGAAGAAACACTATCTAGAAGTTACATATAGAACTACATAAAGGGAAGTACTATTTTGTTGTTGTTGTTGGTGGTCATGGGGCTTGAACTCTGGGCCTGGGTGCTGTCCCTCAGCTTTTCAGCTCAAGGCTAGTGCTCTACCACTTGAGCCACACCACCACTTTGTTTTGTGAATGGTTTATTGGACATAAGAGTCTCATGGACTTTCCTGCCCGGGCTGCCTTTGAACCGTGATCCTCAGATCTCATCCACCTGAGTAGTTAGGATTACAGGCGTGAGCCACCAGAGTCCGGCTGGGAAATACCATTTTTATTTCTAAATATTCTGACCTCTTATAAATGTAGGATGATTGACACAGAAAGGTTTTTGTTGTTTTATTTTGTTTGTTTTGCTGGTCCTGGGGCTTGAACTTAGGGCCTGGATGCTGTCCCTGTGCTTTTATTTTGCTCAAGGCTAGCATTCTACCTCTTGAGCTATAGCCCCACTTCCAGCTTTCGCTTTTGTATTATTGGTAATAAGGGTGTCATGGACTTTCCTGCCTGCTGGCTTCCTCAATTCTCAGAACTCAGCCTCCTGAGTAGCTAGGATTACAGATGTGAGTCACTGGTGCCTGTTTGACACAGAATTTAACTGTTAAGTAAAATGTTAAAAAGTAATAGGATATTTTCTTTTGAAACTGAAGCTGATTTAAAACTTTTAACTCCAAAGAAATATAACTTTTCAGTCATATCTTAATTTTTATGAATACCTTTAATTTTATTATTTTAATTTTCTATCTTGTTTATATTTGTATTTGACCTGAAATAATCCTTTTAAACAAGTATAATATTGTTACAATCAAATGGCAAGAATGCATATATTGGCAGTACTAAGTTTGGAAATGAAGGATTCATACTTGCTAGGCAGTCACTCTACCACTTGATCTACTAGGCTGGCCCTTTTTATAATGCATGCATATATGTATACATCTTTGTATATACATGTATATACATTCATATATACCTACATATATGTATATACATATACATATATAATTTTTTGAGATACAGTCTTGCATTTTATCTGGGCCAGCCTGGATTGTGAACTTCAAATCTTCCTTGTGTCACTGAGATGACAGGTGTGTGCACCCAGCTCTGGTGCTTCCATACCTGCGATGACAGGTGTGCACCACTTTGCCTAGCCACTGGTCAAGATGGAGTCTTAAAAAATATCCCCTTTTCGGGGCTGGGAAGGTGGCTTAGTGGTAGAGTGCTTGCCTTGCATACATGAGGCCCTAGCTTTGATTTCTCAGCACCACATAAGCAGAAAAAGCCGGAAGTGGCACTGTGACTCAAATGGTAGAGCACTAGCCTTGAGCTGAAGAGCTGAGGGACAGGGCCCAGGCCCAGAGTTCAGGCCCAGGACTTACAAAAAAAAATCCCCCTTTCCACAAGGGTTACTTAAGATCATGATCCCTAATCTCCATCTCCTAAGAAGCTACAATTATGGATTTGATATCCTGAGATTGGCTAAAAATACATTATAGCTTTTTTTCAAGTTGACTATGACCTCATATATTCTTGGTTTCTTTGAGTATGAGAGAAAAACAGGGACTAATACATTTTTACTAAGGAGTATAAACCTTAATTATATTTTTTAGAGTACCCGATATCACACAAATATTGGTAAAAAGTAAATTTCAAGAGTTGATAGCATGAAGTGGCTAATGCACATTTGTGTATTGCTCTTTCAGGGTTTTTAAGGCATTTTTTTTAATCTAGAGATTTACAATAATCCAGATTATTTACTAGCATATGATTACATATCGTGGAAGAATTACTTTATATCACACTAAGATACTTTTCAGATCTACCATTATGAGACAGTGATGATGTTCTTTTAAAAATTATTCTATCAACTGGGTATCAGTGGCTCACACCTTTAATCATAGCTACTCACGAGTCTGAGATCTGAGGATTGTGGTTTGAAACCAGCCTGGGCAGGAAAGTCCAAGAGACACTTATCTATAATTAACTTCCAGAAAATCGAGAGTGCCGCTGTGGCTCAAGTGGTAGAGCACTAGCCCTGAGCACAAAGAGGCTCAGGGAAAGTGCCCAGACACTGAGTTCAAGCCCCACAACAAACCCCAGAAATATGCTATCAGTACTTCAAGAAATATCAAATCATAGGTAATTTTCTGTCACTCAACTTGTTTGTTTCACATAACCTGACACTGAAGACTTTTCTTTTACTTTATCCAAAATAGTACTCATCACTTTAGAATAGTCATGATATAGCTACATGCAAACATCAAGAGTCTGTTTTATGTATTTAACATGGTTTGCTTTAAGGACACTTCTTTTACCAATGAGTCATGTTTTAGCATACCCTCTTTTTGAAATATTGCTATGGAAAGATGCTGCAGTGCAAAGAATAGACATAACAGAAATTCTCACTTGTATCTTGAATATATGACTTCCAGTCAAACTCAAAGTAAGTTTCATTGATAAGTGTGCCATTGTAATTGACAGTAACATTCCTCTCTATACTATGCTCCTCCAGAGAAGCATTGGTGGGAGGCCATTGTACACATTTATTTCTCAGGTTGCCCATGAAGAGCTGCAGCCCAATGAGAGCAAACACGCTCAGACAGAACACAGTGAGGATCATGACGTCGGAGAGCTTCTTCACCGACTGGATGAGGGCCCCCACAATGGTCTTCAGGCCTGAAAGAAAGAAGCTTGTGACTATGAAGATGTATACATCCAGAACAGTAAAGCTTGACATAGTTCTCTGGAAAGCATGGCATTTGTGCATGAGTATGAACAGTGCTGGCAGAGTCAGTTGAAGGCAGTACTCTCTGGAAAGCTGAATTGCTTATGGGGCTGAACTCCAGACATGGCAAGGTAGATGAAATGCACATTCTTTTATCATGAGAGATTATGGTGAGGGGCTCATGATCTTCATGAAGATTACATGGACTTGCATTTCTCCTTTCTGCTTTTACAGTTTTCTCAAACTCTCCTTAGGGTCAGTCACTAGTTTTTTTCATGTAATCTATTACCTTAATAAATGTTTTGAAATGGCTTGAGATATATTTATAATCAAAAAGTTTTTGCTATAGAACTGGAGGGTGGCCTGAAGCATAATTTCACTATGAAACAAATCCACCATGAAGACTTACATTGTTTATTATGTTATACCTTGATTTCTATTAGCCAAAGACCTCAAGGGTTTATAATATTTATGATTAGGGATCCATGAGAGCAAAGAATAAAAACTTAAAGACTGATACAATTCAACAGGGAGTAAGTAGATCCTTAATAAAACTGACATGAGAAGGGTGATAATATGGCTTAAGTAGTAAAGTGTCAGCAAGAAAGCCAGGGAAAAGCATGGGGCCCTGAGTTCAAGTTCAGTTCCCGAATATACACAAAGCAAATAAAAAAGAAGCACAACACTGACATGAAAAAAGTAACAACTCTGGATATGACAGTGTCCCATGCAAGAAATTGTTAAACTCCAAAGCTGACAAAACTTGTATTTAGACAGCAAGAATCATTTTCTTTGAAAACACTACAATTCCTGATTTTCTATATTCTTTTGATTTTGTGACTTTCAGCAAAAATATTGAGGCTCAAAAAGCATCATGGGTCAGCCTTGCGTTTAACCAAGGTCTCACCTGGAATGACTGAAATCGTTTTCAGTGCTCGAAGAACTCTGAATGTTCTCAATGCTGAGACATTACCCAGGTCCACAAACTCTGTCACATATCTGCAATGGGGGATTCACACACAAACACAATGACAATATACAAGGAAACAGTTGTAGGTACAAGAAGCCTATGCCTTTCATAATTCACTTCTTACCTGCAGTTACAGAAGTACTTTTCAAAGTCTCAAGACTGCATGTTAAAATGATGCCTAGGCATCAAATGCCTAGCCATGTGCTTATATAGTCTGTAAGCAAATCTCAGTTCTTCAGATGTGAGCTGGATTCATATTACATTTTTGGCTCTTTTCAAAAGATCTACTTGGCAGCTTTAAATGATACATATTGTAATTGGCAAATTAGAAATTAGAACCTCCACTGTGGCTTTATTGTTATGGTTTAATGTCATTAACTAAATGCAAACATTTAAAAGTGTGTATTTTTATTGCCATCTGTGATGGCAATGTAGTCAGCATCATGTGTAATTTAGAAACAAGTGAAGAGAAAGTTAACTGTGTCTATGGTTTTGGTTTCAGTTGGAGATGGTTTCAGATGAAATTGCCCAACAAATTTAGACACAGAAAGGTATATTGCCTAATGTCTCTTATATATGAGTTAAAATTTCCTTTTAATGAAGCAAATTAAAAGCAACATTTTATATGGCCCAATACTACTTCTATTATTATTGTTCTTTATTCTCAAGAAACAAAAATCTCAATATAGCCTTAGCTACTCAGGAGGCTGAGATCTGAGGGTTGTAGTTCAAAGCTATCCTGGGTAGGAAAGTCTGTGTGGCTCTTATCTCCAATTAACCACCAGAAAACTGGAAGTAGACCTGTGGCTTAAAGTGGTAGAGTGGTAGCTTTGAGCTCAGGGATAGCACTCAGGCTTCGATTTCAAGCCTTATGACCAACAAAAAATCTCTCTCTCTCTCTCTCTCTCTCTCTCTCTCTGTCTATCTTTAAGTAGCTGCCATTTAACAAGACAGTTTATGACTACAGTATATCTTGATCAATGTCATGTTTTTCAACATTCTCACCCATCTCTCCTCCACTCACCCCTTCCCTCACTCTCCTTAATGAGAGATGGCTAGAGATTATGGTGAGGGATTGGCTTTTCCTAATAGAATATGCAAATTAGACCAGACTGACAGTTCTTGCAGCTCTATGTCTGCAAGAGCTGCCTCTCCTCTTCCCCACCACCTCTCACTTGCATGAAGCAAAGGATGCTCTGGAAGGAAGAATGGAGGCAAGTGTGCTGGACCACTGCCTTTCTATTCTGCTTTTTATCTATTCCTGAATGGCTTCCCATTATTGTTCAGACTCTTATTACGGAATTTGACCACTAGGCGCTTGGGTGGGCTAAAGAAGGATGGGATTGCAGCAATTTGCACATTACTGAGTGTGCATGGAGAAGGGAGAAGACCATTTTGTCTGTGTTGAGGATAAAGCAAGAGATGAAGAAAATGAAGTAAAAGAGCAGAGAAAAAGTAAAGGGACCAGAGGGGAAATAGAAGCAGAGAATATCTGTTTGGTTTGCTGATGAAATAATAATTTATTACATTCATAATGTATTAAACATCTTTTTTCCTTGACAGCTTGATTTTGAAAGTTTTTGTCATGCTGGTAGATATGTATTTTCTATTACTCAACCAAACTAATGGAACTTTGGAGATTACACAATTTAGTAAGGTCTGTGCAAATTCATCAAACTGGGAGAATTTTTGTGGTTTCCATTTTTAAAGTCACTCTTCACAGATACATAGTGAATATGATTATATTTTCAAATTAGTGAGTGCACAGGTATGTGTGTATGTGGTGAAAGAATGACCTATGTGAAATTTGCTGACAGATGTGTATTGTAGGTGAAAATTGTAGTCTCATCTCCTGAAAAGCCTTGCCTCAGTGAAATGCCCCTGAGACACCAACAGTGGTAAGTTAAAATCTAGAGCTTACATCTATAAACCATACCAATGTATTGTAATGTTAAAGCAAGCCTATTCTTTAAACACATCGGCAATAATAGAAAACCAAAGAATGTTGTCTTTTGAAATTTCAAAAAGAAGACACTTACGCAAATGTAATGACAGTGAAGTCAAGCCAATTCCAGGGATCTCGAAGGAAAGTAAAATCTTCTAAACAGAAGCCCCTTGCAATAATTTTTATAAGGGATTCAAAAGTATATATACCCGTGAAGGTGTACCTAGAAACAAGTACCCCCAAAAAGAATGGATAAAGAATCAGGTTTCTTTCAGAGTATATCAATTCTTATCCCCTCTACCAGTGACTAGATGAATATGCAAATATAATAAGCTAAGCAGATACAGTTTTATTTTCACAGAAACAAAACAGCTCAAAATTAAAATTTGGCTCTCTCATACATGAAGAATTGTTTTTTACAATGTTGTGTGGTGTGAGAAGCATGCAACCCACAAGACTCAGTATAACTCCTGTGTGAAATGGCTTGGAAAGAACAGAAATTTAGCCAACCAATTCTGTAATCTTACATAAACATTCTATGATTTTCCTTTAGGAGGCAAAAAGTTTTTCCATTTTAAGTGTATTTTAAGTATAAGGAGACATTGATAAATCACTGTGTTATGTTTTTCCCTCTCTTTAAGATAAGCTAAGTTATTGAAAAAGTACTTCATTAAAATCAAAGTACATAATCATAGAGCTGTAAAAGATGGAGCTTTAATTTATATAAAATTGTATGGACATTCAGAAACTTCGCATGTTTCCAAAATCTGACTTTCTTATTCTGAAATTAGAGTTTGAAAGATGCACAAAATCACAAAATCTATAGTACTTGAAGACCTGTGGGATCTAACATATTAATTTTAATATGTTCAGAATCATTTTGTGTCTAATGTTTATTATTTCCAGAGTGTATCCATTTTTTATTGTCTCCAATTTGGATGCATCAGAGTAGAGGCCTCTGGAAACACTGCACAGTACCCATGAAATCACTGGGATTGTGCCTTAGCCGGTACCTCGAAGGCCACGATAAATACTCACAAATTGACCTCAGTACTAAAACTTCTCTCAAAAGGAAAGAAATGTACAACTCATCCAACAGGGAAGAAATAATTGTTTTGTCAAACTTTAGCCCAAGATAATGACAATTTGCCTTGTGAAGGTTAAAATGTGTTTGTGACTCTAACTAAATATCACTATCCTACAATACTGTGAAATTTGTGAAATTTATGTAATCACTTAATCTCAATAAAAATTATTAAGACAGTCCATTAATATCATCAGTAATACTTTCAGTTTCTGAAAATGCCATCCAACTCTTCTTTTCAGTTAATGTAGCCTTCAGACTTTTAAAATATATTCTTATTATCTTTAGTTGTACCAAAGAGTTGCTATTCAATAAAGTAGTTTTTGAATACAATATATCTTGATCAACATCATCCCTTTCATCATTCTCTCTAAACTCCACCCTTTCCATCATTAAAAAAACTTATTTATTTATTTATTTTTTTGGTCTGGTCGTGGGGTCTGAACTCTGGGCCTAGGCACTGTCCCTCAGCTCTTCAGCTTAAGGCTAGCACTCCACCACTTGAGCCACAGCGCCACTTCTGGCTTTTTTTTTCTTCTGCTTATGTGGTGCTGAGGAATCGAACTCAGGGCCTCATGCATGCAAGGCAAGCGCTCTACCGCTGAGCCACCTTCCCAGCACGTGATTATTTTTTGTAGCCTATGTGTGTGTGTGTGTGTGTGTGTGTGTGTGTGTGTGTGTGTGTGACTACTAGAGCTTTAACTCAAGGCCTGGGCATTGTCCTTTAACATTTTTGCTCAAGGCTGGAGCTCAATCACATGATCCATAACACCATTTCTCACTTTTTTTTGGTGGTTAATTGGAGAGAAGCGTCTCACAAACTTTTCTACCTGGGTTGCTTTGAAGCATGCTCCTCAGATCTCAACCTTCCCAGTAGATAGAATTACAGTTATGAGCTACCTGGTACCTTGCTCAACCAACTTTTTGGATGATCACTTTTGAAACTGATATGAGCCTGACACAAAGTGTAAGTACCTGATAGGAATGACAACTTGTGAGATGCCACCTTGATTTTTCATAGCATTTATAACTTGCTCTTTTTGATTCTTAACTCACTGAAGAAATCTGGAATGTAACTGGAACCAAATTCCATTATATATTGGCTCTGATCTGCACTGCTTAAATCTTATTTTCTTTGGCACTTTAGATGCTAAAGGAAAAGTGGTGAATGACCAGGAATGATGGATTTCTGTCCCAAGTAGGGACAATTGAAAGGTGATATTAGAGCTAATACCAGGAAACACGAGGACCAGTATTGTCTTGTTGCTCCATTATTGTATCCCAAATGACTCTATGAAACATATCCTTCAAGCTATTTTAATGATGTATTAAGACACAGTTTCAAAATAATACGCATATGTGCATATCATATCATCCATATATACTTAAATGTTTAAAATACAAAATTGTACTTACTCTACATTCTTTGTCCAATCTGGAGGGTTACTCATTGTCATAAATACACAGTTTGTCAAAATAGTGCACATAATTAACATGCTGAATAATGTAGGGTATAGTTAAGGAACACACAAAAGAAAATGCAAATAAGATGGTATATAAAACTCACATGGAAACACCTGCACAGCTGCTTAGCCAGGAAAAGTAGTCTAATTGTTTTAGTTTTCATTTATTTCATCTGTAAAAACTCTGAGTAATAGTGCCACTTTCATAGAGTGGTTGTTTTGATTAAATGAGATAGCACATGCAAAGATATTGTATCAATACAAGGTATTGCTTTTTCAACTGTTACTAAACCAATATAGTTACCTCCCAGAGAACTACGGCGGGAAGACTATATGTGTGTCACCTGGAGCTATGAAGTTTTTGAGCAAAAAGTGTTTGCTTGAACAAATTCAGGTGACTAGTAAGTGGTTGAGGAAGAGCATATATCTGTAGTAATGAAATATCTTTAACACATTATCTAATATAATTGAATTCATGAAAATAATTTATAGACCCATACAACAGGCTGCTGTATGAGGTTTCAATGTTATAACTGAATATAACTGAATATAAACTCAATATAACTGAATATAAACAACACAGCAGCGTTATGAATAATTTTGAAGGCCAAGACTGAACATGATGCGGCTATAATTAAAATTCAACTCATTATCTTCTCTGTCATTCTTATCTCTCTGTGTCTGCACATACATTTGTAATGAAGCTAACAAGTAAATATACTTCATCATGTTGGTGTGTAGATTAAGTGAGTATAAAATCATTTGGAACAATGATTTGATTATGAGAAAATATACTTCTATGTGTTAGCTTGAAGAAATGAAGACAGAATCATACTGCTGAAAGTGACTTTTAAAAACTAACTAGCCTGACCATTACATTTTAGAAATCGGACAAATAAGAGGTAAGCTCTTGGTAAATAAGACAACTTGGCTCAGATTTCTGGAAAACAAGTTTCTGCCTGCAGGTCTTGTAATATTCCTTCTACTAGAGTTTATGTCCCAAACAAAAATTTTCCATTCAGTGAACAAATAAATTTTCTACCAAATGACCACATGGTGGCACTAGAAATACAAACTAAGATTGGGAAAATTTAAGCAAAAATCCTGATCATATGATTTATATGTTTCAAATCTTTTAATTAAAAAACAAAGCAAAACAAAACAAACCTCTAAAACTAAGGGAACTCTTTTTTTTTCGGGGAGGGGGATCGGTCGTGGGGCTTGATCTCTGGACCTGGACGCTATCCCTCAGCTCTTCAGCTCAAGACAAGAGCTCTACTGCTTGAGCCACAGCACCACTTCCGGTTTTCTGGTGGTTAATTGGAGATAAGAGTCTCACCGACTTTTCTGCCTGGGCTGGCTTTAAACCGTGATCCTCAGATCTCAGCCTCCTGAGTAGCTAGGATTACAGGCATGAGCCACCTATACCCAGCCTAAGGGAACTCTTGTAATTGGCTTAGGATAGGTTTTAGGATTTTTTTTTGTATTGAATATTAACCCAGCATTTTACATTTTAATGTTTAATTTCTTTTATTCTTGTTCATTTATTTACTTACTTTTTATTTAGTGCTAGAAATATAATTCTAGACTCTATGCTTGTTAGGTAAGTATTCTACTATTGGGCTTTTTTTTTTTTTTTTTTTTAGCAAGTTCAGTGTTTTTGCATTTTAGAATATAAAAACAAGTAGTATGAGTTTATAAAATTTGTAATAACTTTTCTATAGCTATTATTAGCCAAACCATAAATCACAGTTCTAGTGAAAAACATGAATTTATGAGTATAATTGGACAGGCTTTTTAAACAACAGGACTGCATTCTGGATTACCTTATTCCCTTTGGAAATATAATTTCAATTTCTTTAAGTTCCAGAGTCTTTTCTAAGCAATCACATTTGCATGGTAAAGTCAAAATTCAGTGACATACCTTTTAAATTCAGCCAATATTCTCATACTTATTCTACAAAAATCACCAGAAAAGTTAAAAAAAAATAGTTCAATGCTGGCTGAAGTCTCCTAACATTCTTCTAGGGGGAAAAAAAAGCTTCCAAGATTATTTTAAAATAACATTAAAATGCTTTACATCATAGTTATGGTTAATCTTGATTTTGAAAGTGTGTCTCTTTGATATTTTATCATTATTCACTGAAAATTCTACACATTTTTGTACAAAGATACTAAGGGTAAGTATAGTAATAAATTTGTAAGAGCCCAAGCATTTTTTCAGAAATATATACATGTATAAAAACACACATAATATATGATACAGATTTTTTTAAGTCTTAATGATATCTGTGCGATCAACCAACTTTAAGAATAAGGTGTATATAACCAAAAAGGTGGGCAATGAGTGATGAAAACTACAGACTTTTCTCAGTTGATACTTAACTACCAAATACATACGATTATATGGATATAGTTAATACTAATCACTTAAAAAGGATATGAATGTACCAAAATCTTAATAGCTATTTTCCTAAGAGGGTTGAAGGGAGTTAAAATGTACAGGGCAGAGGTGGCACTGAAGCGGAAGATGGCCTTCCCTTTATTCAATACTATAAAAGTCTGCAAGATAGGAACACAACACAGAAGCATAAAAGCATAAAGCATTTAAACTCTACTATTTACTTTGTTAGTGTTATAATGAATAATTCTGATGTTACACAAGAAACCAGGGCAGGTAAACCATGGGGAAAATCCAGTGACACTACTTTCTTCTTAGCTGATACTTACCTGCAATTTTACTGTACTTTAGGCAGTTAGCCAGGACAGTCAATTTTCTTAATATTTTAAATGTCAAGTGAAATGAGCATCTTAAATGAGTGCCTATTTCATTTCTGTTTAAAAACATCTTAAGATACTACATTCCATTTATAATGATTTCATCTTTCCTAAGTTGAATCACTTGAACGTTATTCCTGTAGATCATGAACTCATTCAACATCACTGAGGTTATTTGTGAAATTATTCTTTTACCATCTGTGCTTATAAAATAAACATTATCATTTTATTGATAACAGAAAATAAAAAACGATCACCATCAAACTCACTCTTGCATTAGATGGAAATAATCCAATAATTGAGGAGGCTGAGTTCCCTGGAGAGTATCTTTTGACCAGGAGTGCTAAATTCTGTATGGGATTTCTGAGTTAGCTGACACATTGACTTCTAATCCCAAATGGCAGTCTTCACTCATGTACTATCTTGACATAGAGGAGAAGCTCAGGGATCCATGGATGTGAATGGAATTCTACTCCAAAAGCACACTTGGTTGATAGCAATCAGCAATGGGCAGATAAAAAATTAAGAAATCCTATAATATTGCATCAAGGATTTGGACATTTACTCATACTCATAACCAGATGTTCCAGAAAACCTTTGTCTCTGTGAAACATAGTAAGGTAAAGTTTAAGGTTTTCTCCTTCTTGTTGTTTTTGGTGGGGCTGAGAATCTAAAATCCAGGCCTCATGTAAATGCCCAACTAGGAACTATAATCCCCAGTCCAGCTTTTAAAATATGAATTCATCCATTTTGCAAAAGCCATGTGATTTAACCTTAAGTTATATACCTGCATAGAGCTCATTATGACTAGCAAGCTATCCATTTTTATTTAGACCTTTGTGCATGTTTTGTGTTTGAGGTAGGGCTGCTAGGTGAATGGCAGGCATGTAACTCTCAGTCATCCATTCCCACCTTTCCCTAATGTCTGGAATTATAGCTCTGCCACCGTGTCTGACATTTAATAAATAGTTTCTTTTAAGCATCTTTGCCAATTTATTCCTTACATTTTGTCTTAAGGTTGTTAATACATTTGTCATTTATTTTTCCCATCTGCTTTCAAAACTGTTAAGTAGAGTAATCTCAAGACATTTACTGACTAGTAGCTTGAAAATGGAACCTTCTAGTCTGTTAGAGGTATAGACAGATGACCCCTAAGTGTGTAGGGAAAATATAATCTTCTAACCAGTACTGTATATAAGCCACTTCTGCCACAAGATATATAAAAGTATTGAGACAGTTTTTGTTTGGAAACTTGTAATGCAATTCAACAAATGGTTTGTCTGTTGAATCTAACAATAATAAAAAGACATAAGGTGTTGTTTTTGTTTTTTTCTTTAGTTTTTGTGTGTCAGCTTCACTAGAGATCTGGGGAATTGATTTCTCTGTATTTTATAAAAACATACCTTTATAACAGTTAGAGAAGCACTGCTCACATTCTGACCTCCGAGCCTTTTTATCATCTCTGAGTGTGAATATGTGCCAAAAGTTTGTTTTCAGGGTGTGTGGCGGGGTAGAGATTCACCTGTGCTTACAAGGGGCACATCTGCCTATTGATGTAGCCATTTGCCCCCTTCCTCCGGATTCATTTAGTGTCTCTGTCCCTAAATGACATCATGAGACCATAAGAAAAAGTGGAGAGACTCATTTGTGCAATTTAAATACCTTTTCTGCAGGGAATTCAAGCAGAAAGAGCAAAAAAATGAGCTAACTCAGAATTGATTATAGCCCACTTTTCCACCCTATACTACTTATATCTCATTGCCCCCATAATACATGTGGGTAAACATGAAAATATTCGAAACTAGAATACAGAAAGAAAACTCTTCAACTAAGACTCTCTTCATTTCAAATAATATTGTAAGCGAATTTTGAAGTGGATCTAGTGATGCACAGAGATAATAAGGAAAGAATTGCAGCCTCTACAGAATACCTGCATTATAGATTGGAGGGCAAGAGTAAGCACCCTTGGTAATTAATTGTTTAATGATTTAAAAACCAACATTTGGAAAAGATAAGTAGATTTATCTTGTGTTAAGAGAGCAGAATCTTGAATAGAATGTCTTGTTCAGATAAGATGATCAGCAAAAGCTGGCTGCATTGCCTGCGACCAGTGAGACTTTGCACTTTACAATTATGTGATTCAGTTACCTCGCTCGAGAAAGGGAACAAATGGACTTAGCTGACAAAAAGGTTGTAACTCTAACTCAATGAGTCAGATTTTGATACCTTATATTTTGTGCTGTTGAAAATGAAAATAATTTATGATTCTATAACAGCAGGACTGTGAGTCTGTTTTTGTCAGGTAGAAATCATTTTTCTAAAGAACTTATGAATAATTTCCCAAATTATCAATGATTATATTGTATACATTAATGAAATTCTTTCTCTGTACCAAATTGCATAGTAAATAAGAAAATGATTGTAGCATTCTAGCAGAAATTATTATGTGACAACCTAGCCATCTTTTCCTATCTGGGCTTATTGAAAAAATATGATTTGTTTATAAGCATTATCAAGGATGAGCATCGAATAACTTATATTTTTCATACACACATACATACATATATGTTTATATATAGTATTTATTAATCTAGATCCCATGTCACTGAAGATACAGAGCTGAAAAAACAAGCTCTAACTTTATGCTTTGTCAGAAGATGACTTCATACTTACTTTGTAAACCTGTTCTAGAACTAAGTTTATATCTTAAAGACAGGAAGTACCCTAGGAGAGTGAGGTATGCTGTTGAATTAAAAAAATTACGTTTACTATTGTTTGTGTTTATTCTTGTCCTTCAAAGCTTAAAATAATAATTTCACCCAGTGGATTAGTTGTTTTTTTAAAAAAAGTCTTTGAAAGTTAATCACTTTGAAATTTAAATGTACTTTCCTACAAGGTGGGAAAGTAAATATGTATTTTCCACAGATCCCAATATCTGTGTTATTCCTGAGTATTAAGGCTTGAACTTGAAGCTTTATAAATGCTAAGCAAGTGTTGTGCTCCTGAGCTACATCTTAAATACTATGTAACGTTTAATGAGGTATAATTCTGAATTAATGACACTTAAAACTTTATTAGTATACATAAGATACTGCCACTGTTAAGATGGCATCAGTTCTATATGAGGTTAGTGTTTAAGCACACACTCTTAGTACAACTTCAGGTGTTAAGGGAAGAAATTTGGCTCTAGTTTCTGCATTAGAGGTAGCCTCTAGATTTCTCATGTCTAAGCAACTGATTTGGGGAAAGATCATAGCAGGGAGGAGAGAGTCACACACAAGAAGAGACATTTCAGAGTTTTCAGTATGAAGTACAGCTGAGAAGGTCAAAAGATGCCTATTAATGCATACCACTGGATATATTCTGGACTATAGTAGGGAATTTAATTCTAATTCTTTTTTCTCATTTACTTTCTTGCTCATTTGTTATATCCTGGATCTTTAGGTAAGGTTTTCCATCCTGTTTTGACTCACAGAGAGAATGGAAAGTTTTCATTCAGATTCTCTACTTGACTCTAAAGAGGTCATGTGATATTTAACACTGTTCTCTTCCGGTCTCACTCAGTTTTTCAATTTAGACTAGAGATAGCAAGTCCAGAGAACATTTCACCTGACTTGCTTTTCTGTGATCCATGACACTTCAACATGCATCCTCCATGAAGTTTACAGTATTGTTTTTAAACCATGAACCACAAATTAAAATGGGCAAAGAGACTGATGGGAGGGACAGTAGATACCTGCCCATCTTTTGCTGTGCAAGTCACTGATAAAAGACCTGACAATCTAAGAAAAACCCTAAATATGAATGATTGTACGTTTCTGTGTGTGTTATCTAATTATTTATAAATATTGTGAAAAATTCAAAATTTAAAGACTATTGTATTATTTTAGACAAACAAGTGTTTGGGCTTAACTCTTCGCATGTTTTATAGATTCCAGGATTTGTAAAATTGCCATCTCTGTCTTGAGCTAAGTGGAATAAGTAGGGAACTGAGCAGGAACTTCCCATGGAAGGAATTTTCTAGATTTTCATCACCCAGGGATTTGGATAACTTGAGCCCAACCAAATCAGAAACAGCATCCACAAGCAAAGTTATAACACTAAGAGTTAAAATATTTTCAACCCTGTGCCACAGGTACATTTCATAAATATGATGCACTATTATATTCTTAGTTAATTTTTCTTTGACTCAAGAGGACAAACTGGAGTTCAAATTTTATTACATATGTTCTGTGTAGGAACTGTGGACAAACATTCTCCATTAATTTCATCATTGCAGTGGGGAGGGCTATTGGAATACCAACATTAAGATTGTCTCAAACATAAGATGAAAAAGTATATGTCTGTATTCTGAGTGATTTTTAAACTATCAAAAGAATATAAGATTTAAAATCTTCAAAATGTGGCTCTGTATATTTGATAGACATAGAGAAGAACATTTCTGTGTCTCAAAGCAGTGCGAGTTTTCACTTTGGAATTTGCAGGTTCAAGACCTTCTCCTCATACTTTGTATCTCAAAAATGACTATTATTTTTTCCTATCTGAAAATTGATCATTATTAGGTTCTCTATCCATTACTCTCCACTTACATGTCATCTTATATGGTGTTTCTTTTCCCAATAGATTTCTTTGTTGCTCCCTTTTGAATCCTCATATACAAATTTAAATGTCAATTCATAACTGGAGCACAACATTCAAATTTTCTGAGCTGATTCTCTTTGGGAAAAAGTAGCTTAGTGCCTTGTCAGTCTCTGATGGGGAAAGAAAAAATTTAAATTATTTTA